TTTAACAACCTGTTGCCGGATCGGGAGACTTCCAACCTCCCCAGCGGTATAGAAACTGTGATAACACAGAGTCTATGTTATCAATCAGAAAACTAAGCCAGGTAAGTGCTCATTGTGCCACAACTGATAGTATGGGAAATCCTTCATTACAAAGTCATAAAATGTGCATATCATATCCAGGTGTTAAATAAACTAGAGGAAAAAGAGATCTATGCTACCCACCAAGCAATGTATCATGATCTCTTGAAGGTTATAGATCAAGATTTGATGTACAGTACAGTACATCTGTATATGTCACTCCACTGAAACATGCACAAACCAAAAAATATTTTTTTGTGATTAAAATGGACAAAATGATGACAATAATACCTTTTTCAATTACAAAGTTAATATTAGACTTCCAAGACATTTCATTAAAAAAAAATCAACTTTTTTTTTTTTACTCTTTCTGCCCTTTGAACATTAAGAGGATCATTTTTCATGAGTTGGTTGGACCCATAATGGGGCAGCTGGCCAGTGAGAATAGAGCCTGACATATCCCAAATAGACAACTCTGAAAAATTTCTTTGGGTTTTTTGACCAATCCAAATTCATTCATCAGTCCACCACTCCGGGAAGTCTCAGAGGGGTGGGTTGATGCTGCTTGGACATTTGGCCATTTAAGGAAATTAATTAAAAATTACTTTTGACTTTCATTTCAACTATAATAATAAATATTATATTCATTGTTAGAAAAATAGTCAAGCATCCAATTACCTGAATATTTTCACTCGTCTGTTTGGTGGTTTCCGCAGTGGCGATGCCATGCTCGTCCGTCTGACACACTAGTGGGACAGTAACCACATGCTGTACATTTTCACTTGAAGGTCTGGCAGTCGGGTCAAGTCCCATCTGCTTCATTCTGACTGCAATGTCGAATAGATAATCGTAACATTCACACCTGATAAATAAATATTTTATATAGTTTGAAATTATTTAACAACAAGTGTCTATCAGTTGATAATTATTAAAAAGTGCAGGAATATTTACAGAATCAAAATTCAGTTAGTACCCTCATACCAAGATATTTCTATAACTGCTCAACAAGAGTAGTAAATTAAATCCAAACTTTTACAGTCGACCCCCCTATAACACAGGTTCATGTAAGTCAGATTCCTATATGATGGCGAAAAAATTGCAACAGTATTTGTACAAATACGCTAAAAAAGCTCGTATAATTCGGTAAAACGTCATCGCCGATTTGTGTTGCGACAGGATTGGTTGAATCTAGACCAACAGCGGATATTGTACAAACCGTTGAGTTTAAATGAGCAGCGGACCTACTAAAAACCATTTATTATTTAATGTCCATAAAAATTATATTTATATTAATGATGTCTCGAAAGTTCAGTGAATTTTTCGCAAAAAAAATAATTTATCAGGAAGCACGCAAGCACCATTCGATGACAATCTCCACAATGAAAACAAGTTTAAGCAATGGCGTCATCGACCGGTGCACACTTGGTAAGTAATCCTACAATTTTTTGTTTATAGCATAGTTTATATGGATTATTCCCAAAAAAATTATACGTATTTTGGAAATGTTGAGTCGAATTAGTCTAGAATCGATTAATTTTATGGAAGGAAACCTTTCAAACAGCCATAGTCCGTAAACGGCATACATGCCAGGCTGTGATTGGCTCATGTATTCAAGGACTCTTAGAACATCAATTTCATAAAGAACGGAACGTATCTACCGTGTTATGGGGGCCGACTGTATTACAAAATGCATCAAAACTATCACTTAAGTGTAATTTTGAAATTATAATTATCAGTTGCTCAAATTTTATTGTAACAAAAATTATGGTAATTAAATATGAAATTGAAAAATTTACAAAATATAGAAATATTGTACAACCTTGTACAATATTTCTACAATACGGTTTGAAAATTGGGAACATCTCCTGTACAACACAACTTCTGGTTTCTCTTTAACACAGTTCAGGATATCCTCTGAAAATAATCACCTCAAAGGGAGCAGAAAACTACTACATCCACATTGTTACTTCTTGGTAGTGCTAAAAGTAGTGAATGCTTTTAAAGTTCAAAGTAATAAGGTCATGATAAAATGTAACTTTTACCTCCCTGCCTATTCCAGTAATAAAAAGGATGGTTTCCCATTAGAAAAAGCTTATAATTTTAACCTTAAAATAATCTTGACCTTTGACCTAGACAATAGGGTCAAAGGTACATCCAGTTGTGAAATTTCCTGCTCTTTCCATTTCCAGGGTCAAAAATGTGTGTTTCCATTGAAAAAACAGACTTGACCACCAAATGACCTTGAAGATCAAGGTCACATCTGAGGTCACCAATTGATTGGCCCCTCGATACCCTACAACTTTTGTCTATACCTTTTTCCAAAATAATTTGATCCAATTAAGTTATTTTATTGTCTCAAGATAAAAAAATACAGTAGACCCCTCCCTATAATGCGGGTTCCTATAATGGAGATTCCTATAACATGGCGAAAAAATTGCGACAGTATTTGTATAAAGACGCTAAAAGGGACTTGTAAAACGTCATCGCCAACTCATGTCGCGACAGGATTGGTCAAATCTGGACCAATAGTGGACAAGCAGCCGAACTACTTTCCGCTGTCCAGCGCCACGCTACGGAGAGTTTAGGCGGGTAAATTGAGTTTACTATCGTCTGTACAGTACAATAGACCCCCCCTATAACGCTTAGATACGTTCCACGTTAATCGAATTTTACGTTGTAGGAATGATTAAATACATGAGCCAATCGCAGCCCGATAGGTGTGAACTTTACGGACTAAGGCTGTTTGAAAGGTTTTCTTCTATAAAATTAACCGATTCTAGACTAATTCCACTCAACATTTCCAAAACACGTATAATTTTTTGGGAATAATCTGTATAAACTATGCTATAAACAAAAAATTATAGGATTACTTACCGAGTGTGCACCATTCGACTACGCCC